TCGACAGAGGATCGAAATTTCCTTGGGCATAGCCATCCAAGAAATCTTTCCAATCGTCTTCGTTAGCAGGTGTGGAGGCAAAAATGCGTGTTCCAGAATTTGAGGATATCGGACGCTTAGGAATCTCCAAGGGGAACGATGCACCGCTCGCGTTAGGCGTGTAAGAATGAGCTCTGTTATGGTGAAAGAATCTTCTCACTCCGGAAGTATCTGACACGTCTTTTGTGTAAATTAATTGCAAAGGTGAAGGTGGGCTAAGGGTTGTTGGTTTATGGGAAATTTCATCGAGTGGTTGATGGACTCGTGATTCTTGGAACGTATCATCCGCATTTAAATGGTTTTCTTTGGCCAAACCACGGGTAAGTTCACTGGTGAACACTGCAGGACCAGAGTCGATGTGACTTGAATTTTGCTTCTTGTAAGTCAATGACATCGTCCTCCTTGGGGTTATGATCCCACCAAATCCCAATTTACCATCCCTCCCGAACGCCCCCCAATGCCCCATTTCATAATAAGAACTTGGATCCGCAATTAAACTCAGAACTTTTCTTTCTTTTGGAAGATCTTCCGAGAGTTTGTTGTTTGCATCCACATTATTCGAGAGTTTGTTGTTTGTGTCAGTAAGAAGGATTACATTATTTCTTGATAACTCAGAATTTGGTAGACTACTAATAGTCTCTATCGTGACTTGGGGTATGTTATCGGACGTTGAAATTGGATCAAGTTTTAATTGCTCTGAGTGCGTTGCAATATCCTCGGTCGAGTTCATCATCGTGGTTTTGTTTTATCTAGATACGAACTGCGGTGACACGGAAAAGGTAGTTTTAGAAAGGTAAAAGTCGCTTACCGGTGAGTGTTTAAATCAAAATCCACATTAACGTAATTTAAGGAGGTAGGAAATATATACAAGCAAACACGGGTGAGAATATTATATTGTTCGACTAATGTTCTATATACTTTTTATATGGTTTTCTAAAAATTTAATTTCGTAAAGGAGAATGTTCAATCTTTTGGCAGTTGGTTGGGCGTTTGAGCAAATAGAAATGAAGTTGTCTTAACAATCGTAAAAAGTCAACAGCAGATAGTGAAATGATAGTATAGGTCGTAATGGTTAAAGAGTAGTGATGAAAGATATTCTTTAAAAAAAAAAAAAAAAGGAAAAGAAAAGAAACACCCTAAAATATTCAAAATTGTGTTACTTTTTCGGCCTGTTTGATGAATGAAAAGTGTGTCCTATTTATTGAATTTTGTTGTGATATATGTCACTTGAATGATATCTCTAGTAATAGAGGAATCGAACAAATGCTCGGTCAGATTTTTGCCAAAAAAGATAGAAGGTGAAATGTAAGACCACAGGAAAAATACCAAGGAAAAGATAAATATATCGCATATATTGCGAGAGTACACACAGATGGTAATGATGTGTGAATCCGATTTGTATTAAATGATTTTCGGGTTGGACCCTAAAATATATCACGTGATGGAAATCGCGAAATCCCTTGCACGATTTAAAACTCATGATGACATAAGTCTAAAAAAGTCATATTTTCGGTACAATTATTTTTTGTGATGAAATAAGATATCACTTGATATTAAAAGAAATAAAGTTTTACTCTACGTAGATCACGTGAAATAGTTATGCATACACTCAGTTTTAGAAAATTTTAACTACACCAGCAAAGCTAACAAACAGTAACCTAAACAAAAAAATATGTGAGATTAAAACAAGATTTTGTAATCTTGTGACAAACACTACACTCATTCTTACTATAATACCACAGGGCTAATTAGCACGATAAGTAGGCGATGAAACTAATTGGTCATTTAGAACTTTTTTATGTAAATCGACTATTTGCAAACAGAACACCTGACGGATCTCGCCGGAGCTGGATAGACATGAAAAATTTCCAAATAAATCAATTTCTTATTTGCGTGTGATCCACTGCAATATGGCCGGTGCGATCACAAATAACACACACGTGATTCTAATAACCGACATCCGAAGAAATCGAGCATTTACTATATCATCAGCGTTCTTCATTTACATTTCTTTGAATGGGGAAGTCGTACTGTCCACCTCTTATTTATTACCCTGGACGCTCTCTATGGAACACAAATTATCAACGGATAAATCGCAGACCGTAGCACAATGTCAATTTAGCTCTCTATAAATGCACCTACCCATTTGCTCGTATATTTTCGTGTCGCATTCATTCGATTATGATAGGTGATCGGAACTTCCGTTCTTCATTCGTATTGACGTAATTTGAAAATTCGATTCTTTGCAATACTTAACTAATAGCCCTTCCTCCATAAGTGCACGAAGGACATCTAGGCCGTACCTCTCTTATAGAGCATTATGCATTAAATTACGAAATCTCAGTGTTTTATGTTAGGGCAGCGTCGTCAATATCATCATCTATCCTTTAGTAATCCATTGTAAATTATTGGCAAAGACAGACCAATCATGTTATTATTAGTAGTTAATTGGTTTAATCTATAATTGGATAAATGTATGTTACCATAATAGGGAATTGGATTGTACAACGCATTAACACTGACTAATGTAATTTAGGTTCCTTGGGTTCACTTGTTAACAGATGGGACACCCTCGACATATGTAATTCATGTGTTCGATCCATATTTATTTCCTTGATTACTCCAATAATAATTTTATGACTTTAAAACGGAAACAATATTAATTTCAACTTATTATACATATTTTTAGATACGTATTCTGGTTTTTGACTTTCTTTATCCTATTTTATATTTCTTTTTAATAAATAATTGCAAAGTTTTTAAATTTGAATTTACTGCATATACTGTATATTATTATTTATTATAATACAGTAGAAATTATAATTTTTATTAATTTGTGTTTTTATTCATAATAAATTAATAAAAAATATTTTTTGCAAACATATTTTTTAAATTAAAAAATTAATAACATGTTTGTAAACTTTGTTAACTATTATTTTTATAAAATTGATGATTTTCTTCCTATAAATATTATTCAATCCAGTTAACAATTTTAAATATTGACTACTTAATATAAATGAAGAAATTTCTAATTCTCCACAAAAAAGATAAACACATTCTTTATATAATCAATATTTCTTTCAATTAATTTCTTTACTTAATACTTCAAAAATTTGATTTTTATTATATTTATTATATTTAATTACACAAAAATAATATAATTATCAATAATATCAAATTTGAACTTCTTAATTCATATTTAATTTCAGGTAATATTCAGCTTATAATACTTGAAATTATTTAATAATATTTATATTATAGCTTTATTAAAATTAGAAATAACAAAAAAATTTATAAATTAATTTCAAAATACTTTATAAAATAATTAAAATTAACTTTTTCTTAATAATTCAAAAAATAAATTAGTTTATACAACAAAAATTTATCAAAATTATTGAATTTAAATTCAAATTAAAATTAAAATAAAACAAATCAATTTAATAAAGCAATTTTTTATTTCATTTTTCAAAAAATTTCTTAATAAACAACTAATATCTAAACAATATTATCAAAATACAATATATATAATTTGTAAAAGTTTCTATTAATCGAAATTTGATTATTTGACATTTTCAAATTATTGATAAATTATATAGATTTTTATAATTAAATTCAAGTCAAATTTATATTATTTGATATTACTTGATAGAAAATTAAATATAATTATTTAATATATTTTTATATAATTTAATTATAAAATAATAATATTCAATATAAAATAATAATATTTAATAACAAATTAATAAATAAAATACAATTATTTGACATATAACTTAACTATAATTTAATATATTTTAAGTTTAAAAATTTGATAAATTTATATACTATATATATATTTAATATTTAATTTTATTATTATTTAGTAAATCACTTATGGGTCTATAGTATAGTAGTTAGTATTCCATAGATCAAATTACAAGATACAAGTTTAATTCCTTCAGGGGACTAATATAATTCTTCTGAATACAAAACAAAAGCAGATAGGATCTGTATTTATTGACATAATTATAAATTAACTGATAGTTAAAAAAAAAGTTTATGTGACTTAATAAAAATAAATCAAAACTGCTAATAAGCTTCCTGTCTAATTAAGTATATGATTGTGCTGGAATCTTATAGACTTTACTATTGAAAGGCTTTGATAAAAGGAAAAATCTGTAGATTACTCCAAAAAATCGAAAATCAGGATTCAGGATATTGTTATCAATAGCCTAATAATTAGACTACTCTTTTTTTTGGGGGGGGCTAAGTGCGATACATACGTGGCTTTTATTAATCAATTGCAGATTACATAGTTATTACATGAACAGCATAATTAGACTATTCTTAGATAAAATTGTTTTGAGAAAAATTAAAAAGAATTTGTATATTTTTCTGAATTTAGTAGAGACTATGTATTATACATATGGTATAAATTATTTTGCTATTGACTCAATTATCAAAATCCTCAAAAATAATTATATCTAACTCAATTATTTTATATATTTTAATAGTGACTTAATTAATTGTGTTAAATAATTATATCAAATTGTATCAAAAATCTATTTATTTCTATCATATGTATATTGTGTACCCCTTCTAAATAAAGTAGTAATTGTATATAGCATTATATAAGATAGATATATAACTATTCATATATAGATAGATTTACTATAAACATATTATATATATTGTATATATTATTTGTTAATATATGTAACTTAAGATATATTATAGCAGTACATAAGTAAAAGACTTATAATATAACATTGTTATAAAATATAGGCAGCTATAAGTATATAAGTATATAATTAATAAAAGATATAGTCACACAACAAGACAAACAGAAATAAATAACCAATAAAAAAAAAATAATACAATAAAAAACAAATATATTAGGAATTATACATATGATATAAATTATTTTGCTATTGATTCAATTACCAAAATTCTCAAAAATAATTATATCTGATTCAATTATTTTATATATTTTAATAGTGACTTAATTAATTGCATCAAATAATTGTATCAAATTGTATCAAGAATCTATTAATTTCTATCATATATATATTAGGGATCAACTCAATTATAAACCATGTAACAAATAATTAAATCAACTGGAACACACTATACAATTTTAGAATTTCTTTTAATAAGGATTGATAAAGCTTTGGCAAATTAATTAAAAATATATTAATAAATTTCTTTTGATAATAAACTATACAATAAGGATAATCTTTAATAAGTTTAAAGAATAAATAGAGTTTTAAAATTTTGTAATTTTCAAATTTGTATATATTTAAAACAATATTCAATAAACAAGGTATAAGCTATCTATTAAAAAAATAAATAAATAAATAAAATAAAATTATTATTTAGCAAATAAAAATAATTAATACAATTTAATAATTATTTGTAATTATAATTATTTGTAATTATAATAATAAAAAGTTTATTAAAATATAATATAATTTAAATAAAACAAAAAAATTCACTTAAATAAACTAAGTTTTATATTATCTTTTGTTTCTTTTTTTACTTTTTTTTTTTTTTTTTATTTGATTTTATTCTAGAAGATCCCTGAAATTTGATACTTTATATTCTTTTTTTTTTTATTGTTTTTTTATTGATAATTTTATATCTTTTACTAATTTTACCTTAGTAATTACTTCTCTGATTTTATTATTATTATATTTTCTCCAGTTTAATATTCTTTCAAATATATTAATAATTTTTGACAACTTTTTGTTTTTT